TGAGGAATTGTATTAAGGGATTGCGGCATTAGTAGTGGTAGGCTTGATATCCAGATCTTGTCACTAAATTACTAAAATTAGTAGATCTGTTCTTTGACACTATTAGAAATATGCAATGAGTTGTAAAATGTTCACCTCCAAAGGAATATTTTCACAGTTCAAAATGCGAGTAACGCATTATTAGATAATGTACGTTCTGATTCATCTAGAACTGTAGACCTGACATATCCATTTCTTTTCCACCTACCAAAGGCACTCTCTGTAAATTCCCGTGCTAGTCACTACAGTATGTTTTTTAGATGAAGATAATAGAACCTGAGGACAATTTTTCTGATAAGCCATGCGAAGTTGAAATGTGTCCACTGATATTTTTCTATGGGTGGGCTTATGGAAGTGAAGAAGTATTGAGGCTTGTATGAAGTGATCAGTGTGGGAGAAAAGAGGAATGGGAAGCTACTATACCCTGGAATTTCCTGTCTCTGAATGTCAATGATCAATGTAATAAGGAGGCTAACTTTAAACTGTTTCTTTCTTGAAAATGAAGTTGAGTAATTTTCAGTTTCTCCTTGTTGCAGAAAAAAAAGTGCAGTTCTCATCTACTGTTGGGCAGTTTCCACTCAATGTTTTAGGAAATTGTGTTGTGCAGAAATGCATATTGGTTTGCATGAGCTTATGAGAAAAAAAAACCCAGTGTTGCCAGGTTAGACATGTGTGCTTTTTGGAAAAAGATTGCTGTTTTCTATACACAAGAAACAGAATCTTGCACAACAAATATCTTGCACAGAAAACAGTCATTTTCCACAACAAAACGACATGCTGATTTTTGTACAAAATGGTTTTTGCATGTTTTCCATGTATGATCGTTTTGTGCTCAATTTTTATTGTGCAAGATTTTTGTTTGTTTCAAAAACAGCAATGTTGCACAAGCACACACACAGCTATCTGGAAGCATACACAAAACCAATGTATATTTCTGCATGGAAGGATTTCTTGAAATATTTTAGGATGTATTAATACTGGATGAAAACTATACAATATTTCTCACCACTGTATTATTCTTCCCATATGAGTTTTATGGATCCCAAGAAACCAATTTTGGACAAGAAACAAATACATTTGCATGCTTACATATAGCAGGGAACAAAATACTCAGAATGTGTATTTGGCACTGCTAATACAAAGCACAAGAGGCATAAAAAATGCCAAAAAGTTGATGCAAAGTGGGCGAAAGAGCCAGCTTAAGATCAGCAATAGAGCCAAAAGACTGAAAACAGTACTTAAAAACATATTGGATGTTTTCTGGCATTAAACATGTATAGTTCCAAGATTTGTCACAATGGTCTATAATGATTTTTCTTTGACCCACTAGTGAATGCCAAAATAACCTATTTATTTTATTTCTTAAATTGTTTCAGGTGGAGTCCAACTTATGGCAACTCTATCCACAAGCGATGGTGGTGGCAGGATTTATCGAGATGAGTTGTGTTATTTGTTTCCTATCTGAGAGGAAGAACATGTCTTAGCCAAGGTCACTCAGTGGGTTTCCATGACTCAGTAGAAATCCAAACTCTTTCTTCCAGAGTCCTAGTCCAACACTCAAACCATTATACCAAATGGGCTCATTTTTAAAAGGGTTAAGAAGTTTGTATAGACATTTTATTGCATTGTGAATTGCACAAATATTTGCTTGGAATTGCCCATTTGGTTTATGGAAATAGTTTCAGAGAACAATACTGCATCCTAGACCCCTGCCCATCATGGCTGATAAAAGAAGCCAGAAGGGGTTTGGCAGAGCAGGTGAAGGTGATGGTTAATGCCTCCCTATGGGGAGGCATGATTCCAGCCAGCTTAAAACAAGCTGTAATAAAACCGCTGTTGAAAAAATCCATCACTGGACCCCACCCAATTTGTCAACTTTCAGCCAGTTTCCAATCTCCCCCTTTTTGGGCAAAGTCCTGGAACGTGTGGTGGCCTCGAAACTCCAGGTGTTCTTGGAAGACACAGATTATCTAGATCTGGTACAGCCTGGCTTTAGGCCGGGACACTGAACCAAAGCAGCACTGGTCACCTTAGTGGATGATCTACGCCAGGAACTGGACAGGGGAAGTGTGTCCCTGTTGGTTCTGCTATACTTTTCATCGGCCTTCGATACTGTAGAGCACGGTATCCTTCTGGGGCACCTCACAGGGATGGGCCTAGGAGATACTGTTCTGCAGGCTTTAGTTATTTCTAGAAGGTTGTTCTCAGAAGACTCCTGCTTGGCCCCACAGCCATTACTTTGTGCAGTCCCTCAGGGCTCAATACTGTCTCCCATGTTGTTTAACATCTACTTGAAGCCATTGGGGAGATCATTTGGAGTTTTGGAGT